GTGTGATGGCCTAGAGGTGAAGACGCTCTCTTCCAACTCAAAAGGTTGAGAATTCAGTCCTAGGCAGTGACAGATGTTTCTCTATCAGGGCACAAAGAGAAAATATCTCCTGCAAACTCCATGTAGGTGTCAGGAAGGGCATCTGGCCAGTAAACACTCAACTCCATTCAATCGCCTGACTGCAAGGGATTACAGGGTCATAAAAAAATAAACTAGCCAGACATATATTGGAAAATCATCTCAGCCAAGCTGCATGATCCCCAAAATTCCTCAGTGATGTTGCTGTTTCATTTTCTAGAAAAAAAATTGATCAGTTTCTTGAAGAGACTCTTAAAGAGGAGACAGGAGAATTAACTGTCACTAGATCTGCTCCTAGTCAAAGGGGAGAGTTGTATCAAAAAGAATGGGAATTTTTTTGATGAAGTGATCATATCATGTTGGAGTTCAAGATATCATAGAAAAAGAGAAATCGGAGTATTATATGGTGAGATGGATAGCAAATAAATAAATACATAATCATACACTATATACACCAAACCTCATGTATAATTTTTGCTTCATTTGTCATGGCCAGCAAATCAGTGAAGTCTTCATTATAGGCTCTACTTTGGCACTCTCCCACTATATGTTGGATAGTTTGTTTTTTGGTCCCACAGTCACAATTCAGTGATGCTATTTTGCCTCACTTATAGAGGATGTCAGCACATCTACCAGGGCCAGTGTGAATTTGGTTCAATGTTATCCTTATCGCATAGGGCTGGTCAAATCCAGCTGGTTTTTTTTTTCAAGTTTTAAATGACATTGTGGGGGGCAATTTTCTATTCAATACTGTTTCCACATACAGTAGTGGCCAAAATTGTGGAAATCTTTTGGGAAAAGTGTACAGTAGAAATGCCACCTTTGGTTAAGTTTCCACCGATTTTTCTTCTAATTTCTTTATAACTGTAGCCTTGTTCACTTAATAATACTATTTTACATCGGTTTCTGGGCAACTAGTCAACTCTTTGCACCATTACTTTAATTTTATTATGTTTTACAAGCTCACTAAATGAAAGAGAAAAAAACCCCAACCAACTTGATAGCGATCACAAAACACACTGACCAATGTCCTCCTCTCAGCTTCAATACATGACATCAATAACTGAATCCTAGTGTGATCTGATTGGCTGATTGCCCAAAAAAGTGATGTCATTAGCCATCAAACCTCAAAAATACACTTTTCCCAAAAGGTTTCCACAATTTGGCCACTACTGTATTGTGCATGTGAAAATCATCTTCTACAAGTACTTTAGCAGTAGAAATAGTTGGATGTCTGGATCTCAATCTGTTTCACTCCAGGCAGGCTACATTGCTCAGTATTAGCAGCTGGGAGTTGTCAATAATATTCAGGTATTCTTCGAAGAGGCCATTTTTTTGTATTACTTCTGGGGCTGATATAGGCAGTCAGTATATGGGAATAGTTCGGATTATCCCACTAACAATGCTTATTGACTCATGCAAATATGCATCAATCCTATTTGTATATAGACTATTAAGCCATACTGGGGCACAATACTCTGTTACTGAACAAATCAAGCTGAATGCAGATATCTGTAGTGCGTCCATTGCCAAACCCCAACTAGTGCCACTCAATTTGTGCAGGATGTTATTTCTACTTCTCAATTTGGCAGCATACAAATTTAATGAACAAACACACAAACAAACTTAGGGAACTTTTGTGAATGCAACAGGAACTTCCAACTGAGATAAAAAAAAATTAAATACATTTATAGGATACAGACAGTGGCTATAATTTCCAAGTAATTTGTTTCCTTGTCAGGTAATAAATGCTAAGGCAAAAAAGGAAATGTGGCTCAAAGTTGGAAGAAATAAAAATAGCTTTTTGTTATGCTAATAGAAAAGGGAATTAAAAATGCAAGAGTTAAGCCTGTCTTAAAAAAAATAGACTTCTCAAGATATGATAATGACTGCCAAATGAAAGCAAGACTCTTGAGGCAGTACTGGCATCTTCAGTTCTGGCATTCTTGTTGGATTCTGATTATTTTACTCTGTTCTACTCTGTTTTAGACCTAGTTTGTGGATTCAAATTGCACCTTGGGGATGACTGCCATTGGCAAATTCAACTTTCTTATATTGACTTCTGATAACATTTGCCATGACATTTTGAGAGGCCTATGTGGGTTGAATTTAGGGAACAAGGTCAATTTTGTACTGTGTGTGTATGTGTGTGTGTGTGTGTGTGTGTGTGTGCACGCGCAATGGGAGAATTTATTTTAAAATGGGCCTGGAATTTTATCTGTTTGAGAATGAAACCACTCAACTCCTTGTTGAAGCCAGATTAATAGTTCATGATACACCCTTCTGAATAGATCATTACCAATATGGTTTCAGATCCAATAAAAAATAATGGTTATTTGAAAGGCTGATTAAATGAACTTGCTCTTTGTCTTAAGATCACATCCAGTCAGTTATGAAAATAAGTTAGTAATATATCCTTTCCTTTTCAGACATATATATTTTATTTAAGTTCCTAAAGCTTGTTTGTTTTCTTCAATATTACTTCAAAGTTCTGTTTCTATTTGTTTGAAATGGATTGTTTTGAAATGTATATAAAACAAATTAATATATTTGAGCTATTTCTATTAGATAAGAAGTAGAAACAAAAACAAAGGTGATATACTGGATGTTTCTATCTTGTCAGTAAGAATTAAGCTCAACGTGAAGGAATTAAGCTCAACTTGAAGGAATCTTTACTTTTTGTTTTGTTAAACTCAGAAACTGAAGTTTTGAAATTTGAAATGCATTTATGTAAATAAAACCTACCAGCAAATAAATACAAGTGAACAAACATCTGATAGCCTATCTTCCTTGTTTGATTAGCTTTGATTATGTTGCGAGAAATGAATTTGCAAGTCAGATATTACAGATTCATGCATCCTGGAATTACCACTGTTATTTTGACATAGGCTTTTAATATGTAGCATAGATAGAATTTTCTCACTGGATTTTCCTAATCACAAAAATCCCCTCCCATCTCTGCTTACATGTCCTATCTATCTCATAAATTCATTCTCATTGTCTTGTTGCAAAATTTATTGCTTCTTAGAATTCAGTACTGTAATGTAATATTCCAGAAGAGATTAAGAAGAGATGGCAAAACTACACAGAAGAACTATACAAGAATGAGCTTAACATCCCAGATAACCACAATGAGATGGTCACTGACCCCGAACCAGACATCCTAGAATGTGAAGTGAAATGGGCCTTAGAAAATCTGAGCAACAACAAAGCTAGTGGAGGTGACAGTATTCCAGCTGAGCTATTCAAAATCTTAAAAGACGATGCAGTACAAGTGCTACACTCAATTTGCCAGCAAATTTGGAAAACTCAACAGTGGCCACAGGATTGGAAAAGGTCAGTTTACATTCCAATTCCAAGAAAGGCAATGCCAAAGAATGTTCAAATTATCGCACCATTGCACTCATTTCACATGCTAGTAAAGTTATGCTTAAAATCCTACAAGCTAGACTCCAGCAGTATGTGGATCGAGAACTACCAGTAGTACAGGCAGGATTTTGAAGAGGCAGAGGAACTAGAGATCAAATTGCCAACATACGCTGGATCATGGAGAAAGCTAGGGAGTTCCAGAAAAATATCTACTTCTGCTTCATTGACTATGCAAAAGCCTTTGATTGTGTGGATCACAACAAATTGTGGCAAGTTCTTAAGAGATGGGAGTACCAGACCATCTCATTTGTCTCTTGGGAAACCTATATGCGGGTCAAGAAGCAACAATGAGAACTGAACACGGAACCACTGATTGGTTCAAAATTGGAAAGGAGTCCGGCAAGGCTGTATACTGTTGCCCTGCCTATTTAACTTATATGCAGAGCACATCATGAGAAAGGCAGGGCTAGATGAATCAAAAGTTGGAATTAAGATTGCCGGGAAAAATATCAACAACCTAAGATATGCAGATGATACCACTCTGATGGCAGAAAGTGAAGAGGAACTAAAAAGCCTCTTGATGCGGGTGAAGAAGGAGAGTGCAAAAGTTGGCTTGAAACTCAACATTAAGAAAACCAAAATCATGGCATCCAGCCCTCTCAATTCCTGGCAAATAGATGGGGAATAAATGGAGGTAGTGACAGATTTTATCTTCCTGGGCTCCAAGATCACCACAGATGGGGACTGCAGCCAAGAAATTAAAAGACGCTTGCTCCTGGGGAGGAAAGCTATGGCAAATCTAGACAGCATACTAAAAAGCAGAGACATCACCCTACCAACAAAAGTGCGTATAGTCCAGGCCATGGTTTTCCCAGTTGCAATGTATTGCTGTGAAAGTTGGACCATAAGAAAGGCTGAGCGCCAAAGAATTGAGGCCTTTGAACTATGGTGCTGGAGAAGACTCCTGCGAGTCCCTTGGACTGCAAGGCGTTCAAACCGGTCAGTCCTAGAAGAGATCAACCCGACTGCTCTTTAGAAGGCCAGATCCTGAAGTTGAAACTCAAATACTTTGGCCACCTAATGAGAAGGAAGGACTCACTGAAGAAGGGCCTAATGCTGGGAAAAATTGAGGGCAATAGAAGAAGGGGACGACAGAGAATGAGTTGGCTGGATGGAGTCACTGAAGCAGTAGGTGTGAACTTAAATGGACTCCAGAAGATGGTAGAGGACAGGAAGACCTGGAGGAACGCTGTCCATGGGGTCGCGATGGGTCGGACACGACTTCGCAATTAACAACAACAAATGTAGTATTCATCGATTTTAACTTTCTTTTTAATGCTTGGGTCAAATGCTGCTAACCTTCCATGATTATCATGCTTTTGTAGTTGGAAGAATGAATCTTCCAGCATAAGGATTTCATACTATACTTTCCCTATAATATATTAATAAATAATAACATACTATGTAGGTTTTTACACAAGACATCTGTCTTTAAAAACATACTTCAGTATGGCCAGATGAGTAACTTTGATTTTCTCCCTATATGAATGTAGGAAGCCATACTAAAGAGAGATTTGAAGGAAAGATCACACCATCCCATATGTACCTCCCTAATCCCTGAGGACATCAGAAGAGGCCCTGCTGCAGGTGCCCCTTCCAACTGAAATTGGTGAGTAACTGTTAGTTCTAGGGTCTTTCTCTGCAGTGAAACCATTGATCTTTGGAGCTAGTGGTTGTCCAGATTTTGGGAGCCCAGACACGATCAAAGAGGGATAATCATTTTCAAGGATTTGACAAAGAATGATAAAACTTGTGCTTGCTATTACTATTTAATTGTTCGGTCCCATTTGTATCCAATAGCAGAAATCTCAAAGGGATTGCCAAACTCTGGCATTATTTAATAATCTGACCTCAGATCTCACATAAGAGCACCAAAATTGTGAAATTTAATATCTATGTATATGTAAATGTAAAACACACATATATATTCACACACACACATATACATTAATGTAGTCTCTTTCTTAGGTAAAACTTTTCCAGGGCCATTTTTTTTCTTTATACATTTCTGCTTCTGTTGTGATTTACTTTGAAAGAACCTAAAAGATAAATTTCACAGCTGCAGAATATTGATAAATTGTAATGTACTGTAAGAGGTATGGTCTCCTGAAAAATTTCCAGAAACCGCAACTGCTATAAAACTTAGTAATCTGTAAATGACTGTTGTGAGCATGCTAGTTATAAAACAGTCATACTGGTTATTGGTTCATTTTTGGGGTTAATTTAAAAACATGAGCTTTGCCTTTTAAAGCTTTGGACAGGTAGACAGATCTGGACATTGAATGATTGTCATTTTCAAACAAACCTACTTATTAAATAACATCTTTATCAGATATCTACTCCATTCCTAGCCTGAGGCAGTAGGTGGAGAAGATATTTGTATATGGCACCAAATTGTGGAATTTCCTTCTTTAACTGGTACCTAGGTTAGCGTGTTTTCAGCCCTGGGAGGAGGTTATGAAATTCTCTTAATAATATTTAATTGCTTTTAAATGCATATTTATTCATTAAAAAAAGCAGTTTATCTTTTTCATCCAGAAAGACTTTCAGAATGACTTACGTATGCTCTGGAAAACAGAACACAATAAAAAAAAGGAAAAGAAATGGGAGACAAAAAATCAGGAGGGGAGGAACAATACATTTAGTTACAGATAGTTCTCTACTTAGACAACAGTTCATTTAGTGACTATTTGAAGTTACAGCAGTACTTTTAACTTATGACCATTTTTCACACTTATGACCGTTGCTGCATCCCCAGGGTGATTTACATCTAAATGTGATTTACATTTAGATGCTTTACAACTGATTTACATTTATGACAGTTGCAGTGTCGCAGAGTCATGTAATCCTATTGTTATCTTCTGACAAGCAAAGTCAGTGGGGAAGCCAGATTCATTAACAACCGGGTTACTAACTTAACAACTGCAGTAATTCATTTAACAAATGTGGCAAGAAAAGTCGTAAAATGAGGCAAAACTCATTAACAATTTTTGGGTTCAATTGTGGTCATAGGTTGAGGACTACCTGTACTAATATTTCATAAATAGTCTATATTATGATTATGAGTCTTTTCTTCTTTATAAATTATATGTTAACATATAGTTTTTATTTATAAGGATATTAAAAATATTTACTTTGTTAGCTGCTTTGAGATGTAAGGTATAAAAAATCTTTACTTTGTTAGCTGCTTTGAGATGTAAGGTATAAAGAGTTCATAGATTGCACTGATTGCTACCTTGAAAGCTATAAATTAATGTTTTTCAAACTTGACAACTTTAAGATGTGGGCATACTGGCTGGGGAATTCTGCGAGTTGAAATCCTCATGTCCTAAAGTTGTAAGTTTGAAAAACGCTGCTCTAAATGGTGAATATGGACACTTTATAAGCGATCTCCTCTCTTACTGCTATCTTGCACACTATGTTCAACATGAGGTTCCAGTTTGGAATCCCAACAACAGGAAGACCACGTGGAGAGCCAAAAGCCAGGATCTTTTCAACGTGATGTGAACACTCTGAAATGTCTTTCCTATGGCCTGTCATTAAGTCTCTTGGCTCCTTAAACAATAAATTGAGGAAATAATGCAGTCTTATGACCAGATACATGATTATTATATTTGTATGGTTTTCTGTTTGCTCAAGATACTCCACAAGATCACTTTAAATCTAATTTCCAGCTTTCATTTTAAAAGTTGACAAAAGGCACTTCACAACTGTTAATATTATGGGGTCCACTCAATGAGAGGAGGATGGTCAAAGAAACATAGGGAGCAGAGTTGGCTCATTTTTCCTTCCCAACTAGTGAAGGGATAGTCCAAAGCAAAGTCTTTGTAGATAACTGTGGTATATAGGCATAGCAATATTTTTTCACATTTGTTGATGTAATCTTTATGTAGCTATTTTATATCAGCTATGCTATTAGCTGTTTAGAACTCTGGATGACAAAAAATAGGATAATGCAATCTCATTTCTGTATTGGCATAGCTATGATCTGAGGAAGAGCAATATACAGTACTGTTAAGATTCCTGGCCTGAACCCATGATTAGCTAGTTAATGAATCTTTTCTATACAGCCCATGTCAGTACACACTGGTCTCATGGACATATCTTTCCTGAATGAGTTATTTTCTTAGTTCACCTAAAATAAAATTTACATTTAAAGTTTATTTACCAAAAGGAAGAATGCTTCCACAGTATTTTTTTTTTTTTTGTGAATGAAAGGGGTTGTTTCTCATTCCCTGAAGAACAGAATAAAAGGCTATTGAAAGCAAGTGAATAAACTTGATATAAAAAACATGAAGGCTTTGTCAGGTAAAAGCATTTAGCCAAACCTGTATGATCTCAGACGCCAAGTGGGATCTGTTTATCACTTGGATGGGGACTATTTCAGAGTTCCAGGGCTATAGGCTACAGTGGAAGTTGAAAAAACATCCCAGAAGAAGACAGTTGCGAATTATCTCTAAAGAAACTGCATGGAAGCACTGAAATTGTCTTTACTTTTACAAAATAGAGACAAAAGTAGGAGCTTAGAAGTGAATATATCAGTAGAAACAGTGGTGGAATTCATATATGTGAACAACCGGTTTTCTGTATGGATGCCACTTCCGGAAGTCCATTCTGGGCCTGGACAACAAAAAATTAGCTACCAATTCTACCGAACTGGTGCGAACTGGCTGAATCCCACGACTGAGTAGAAAGTAAAATTAATGCAAGCAAGCAACTGAGAGATGCCCTCCTTTGATTGTCCTTCATGCCTCTGAAGTGCACATATTCATTTAGGATTGAAATTCTGAGTGGGGAAAGTCCTTGGTTAAAGAGAGCCTCCATCAGAGATACTTCACCTCTGTGCATGAATGATATCAAGAAGGGAGACAAAAAGACTAGAGATCCTAAGCCGGGGGTGTCAAACTGCTGGCCTGCAGGCCGGACGTGTCATGACAAAACCGCACCCACCCTATTGCCGGCAATGGGAAAAAGCTCCAATACGTTGTGCGATGTCATGTGATGTCACGAGTTTGACATGTCTGTCCTAAGCATACTTATTTAGCAATAGTAATAGCAATTAAACTAATATACTGCTTCACAGTATATTAGTGCTTTACAGCCCTCATATTGCCCTCAACAATCTGGGCCCTCAATTTACTGACCTCGGGAAGGATGGAAGGCTGAATCAGTCTTATGCTGGTCAGGATCGAACTACTGGCAGTGAACAATGAGTTAATCTGCATATACTGCATTCTAACTCCTGTGCCAACAGAGCTCTTTAGGAGTAAGATCTTTTGAACCTGATGGAATTTACTACAGAATAAGAGCAGATGGGTTTCCTTGTATTTGGAACTCAACATAAAGGCTCCAGTTAGCTCATTTCTTGTTACGTACAAAAGGCTAAAACAGCTCAATATTTAGAATAAATTCCCTAATTTTAATCTCAGTTTACATGGAGTAAGAGGGGACAAAAAGAGGCAAACAATAGTCTACATCACTGGCTAATAATAGCAGTTAATACATACACGATGAATGTTAGAACAAGTGATAACATTGCAATCAGTATGCAAAATAAGGTGTTTTTTTTTTTTTTAAATGTAGGGAATCAGTCATTTCTAGCATTTGCCATCAATTTTGGTGTAGATTTTTACTGTAAAACAAGAAATCTGAAAAAGCAGTAAAAATATAAACTTCAGCTTCCACTCTCAAAGCAGTTCTATATTACCCTTCTCCAGCCTGCAAAAAATTAGGGAAAGCATCTCTTAGAATTTCCAGCCACCTGCCTTCACTCATAAAGATAAATATTTAGTTAAGTCCAATTCTGGAGATTATTTGCCATTGCCCACTTCTGGGATTTTTTATTTTTATTTTTGTTTCCCAGTCTGGTCTATAACCCTGGGATTTCCTGGGTAATTTCCCATCAAGTGCTATTCAGGCTTAACTCTGCTTTGTTGTTTTTTGGGGGGGAGGGTGGAGGAAAGGAAGGAAATTATCAAAGTCATCAAGAAAACTATGGCAGTTGTGACAGTTTTCACCCATACTGTAATGTTTGGAAATTATGAGAGTTGCAGTCCCAACACATCTGGAGGTACCAGAGTAAGGACAGGGCTGTGTACTGACCATTTGGTAAATGGTTGTCTGAATTTACATGTAATAAAATATTGAACAGCTAGAGCATTTCTTTACCCAACAGAGAACTTCCATTGAAAATTACAATTGCAAACTTTGATGTAGTCAAAGTGATGTTCTTGCAGGGCATCTTTTTATACAGTGTTGAAAAAGAGGAATTGCATTGCTAATCAAGGAAATATTTTCATGGCAACTTGTACATGCAAATTGATATGTATAAACACAGATTCAGAAATAGTTACTAATTTTAAAGAAACACCTTACCAAGAAGTGACTGTTCAGGCCAGTGTGTAGATAGCAGTACTAGAAGATGAAGCAACTATATATATTCTGCTATTAACCAACAGCTACAAGCAGGGATTTCTGATCAGTAAATCAATAAATTAGGCAGTCTGTTAGAGCTAAGTAAAAGGTAAAAATCACCAACTAATAGCTGGAGCGTGAGCCTAAAAATGAGAAGAATTTGCCTGTGAGAACCTGAAGTTAGAGAAACAGGCC